ACCTATGTCTCTTTGAAAGTTACGAGACTCCAATTGGAAACTAAAAGACATTTTCCTTTTACTAACTTCAGGCGATATTCATAGAAGAAAGGGAAGAATCGTCTCATTAGCATTTTTTTATGATCGTTTAAGTAGCGAACTTCTTACCTTCCGACGATTACATTTGATCGATAACAAGTGACGCGAATTAGAATTGATCATTAAGTTTTAAGATTCACTTTAGAAGTTTAAATATATTAATTAGAGGAGAATGTATTGATTAAATTTTTAGAATATTAATTTATAATATCTCTAACGTATCTAAAAGTTGAAACGATAAAATGCCATTGCATTGAATTTTGATTTTCTATCTTTTTTGTTGTTTCTTTTTCTATTTAAAAATTGCAATTCGTTTAGTTACAGGGTTAAGAGAAAAAGTAGTCTGGATGAGAAACGTTATCCAGAACGTCTCCTCAAATGTCCTTTTTACTTTACCCCCTCTATTCATGTATAATTATCGAAGGGTAGACCTAAAAACACCTCCGCCGTCTGGGATTACCCAAATCCGATGAAAAGCTCGTTAGTTCAAGTAAGAATCAGAGCTACGTAACTGAAACAGATTTAATGACCGCCAATGTACTTTTCTTTATCGAGTCATTAAAACCCAATCTATGCTAGTCCTATTAATCGTGTCGTCATAAAACAGAAGCTTTTATGGTTAGCTCTATAACCTCGTTTATATCTGTTCGCATCAAAGGATGAGATTCTGTTCGATTAGTAGCGACGTGATTCAAATTTAAATTTAACGAACGTTCGGAACGATGAAGAGAATTCGATTATTGCGCGATAAGTTTTCTCTTGTAATTTCGTTACATTCGTTTAAAAATAATTTTAATAATAACAAATTGTTTTTAACTTTGTTCATTTTCTTAAAAAAAATGTTACACGTCGAACGTCGCGTTTCTTGTCTTTCCAAATTCAACTTACAAGACGTGTCAACACGTATCGGACGTGTTTTTTGGTCCGATACAACACATTGCTCGTCTTACAACCAAACAGATATTGATTTTTAAATTAATTTTTGCGCGGTTATTGTTGATCCGATTTTACGCAGAATATATTATCTATATTTTGTTAGAAATTAAATAAATTCAAAAAGAAATAAACGATGACAAGTAAAACGTATCAAAGTGTAAAACGTGTTTACAAAGGGTAAAAAAAGAATTCCGCAATAACACGAGACTGGCGTTCAATGTGTTAAAACATAAAATTGTCAACAAAACGAGTCTGCATTTTAATTACGCAACTTTTTTAAACTTAAACTCGTCCAAGATTACATTCTACCGCAATAATGAAAATAAATGCGAACAACATTTCAAACATTCGGCGAGCCGTTCTCCTCGTATTAAAAGCAACATTAGTAAGCCGAGAATCCACTCGAAAAACGTTTCACTTGTATAATCGAAACTTGGAAGAGGCGTCAAGTACGGAGGATAACGATCATAAAATCATACGAAATCCACTTTTGTGCTTACACATCGAGAAAGATCGTATCTCGAACCATGAAAATGATACGCATTTCTCGGCTAACTTTGAAAATTCTTTTTCCAAAAAAAAAAAATAAAAAATCTCTTCGATTCCCAATAATGATATAGAATACCTTTAAATAACCCTTCACTGTTTTCCTTTCCATCTCTTCTATTTCTTTCTTACCTTTATCCAAAAATAAAAGACATAGAGTAACATTTCGACAAGCGCATTAAGAAACGAACACGATCAGTGTAAAGTTTAACGACTAACATAAGAAATTGAAAAGAGTGAAAGGAAATAAAGAGAAACGTTATCTCGTTCTTTTGGTGGTGTCTCGAGAAGAAGGTGTACCTTTTTTGTTACACGCTCATTCGCGCGTCATACGAGGCGCCTTCGAATTGCCTTTAGCTTTTAAAAACCGAGAAGAAAAAAGGTAATCGAATACGGCTTGTGTTGGTCGAAGGCAAGCTGATTGTGAGTAAGAGTGCGATAACACAACATTCCATCGGTGAGAGGCCAGTAATTAAGACCTCAACTGGTCCCAAAGGACTTTACTTCGAACTTCCACCACTCTTGTCTTTTCTCTCTCACAGACTATCGATATACATAATACTTGTGTACCTTCATGTATACATATATATATATCTTATCGAGGCTACTTCACTTCGATTCGATGTTCGAGCCCGCTTTCTCTACGAGTATATATACGAGTGTATATCGAAGAGCCTAGGTATACCAACCCAAGGGAACACTTCCAACTGGAAACACGTCCGAGCCAATGGGAGGTTCGATGGCCTCCTTCGAAATTACCGACCGACCGACCGGTTCTCTCCTCTTCCTCGAAGAGGAGAACGACGGTTACGCGTAGATCGTCGTGGGATGGATTATCGTCGCTCCAACGATCGGCAGTTTCCTCTTCCTCGGAAACGCGAGCGTAGTTCCGAGACGACGACGACAACGACAGCTCCTTTGAACTTTCCCGATCGATATTAGGAAGTTATCATCCAACGCGCTGGTTATTACGCTAGTTTAATCGACAGCATTTCGATTTCGATGAAAAAGGATCCAGAAATTGTGAGAGAAAGGACCGTCATCCTTGATTAAACCGTTCGAAGAATCTTCGCTTTATCTCTATCTCTATTTTAAATTCCCTTCTTTTATTTTTCTTTTCTTCTTTCTTTCTTTCTACCGCAAATGAATAAAGAGAAAATTACGATTAACAGATAAGAGTGGACTGGTTAAACGAGTTCAAGAATAGTTATATTTATTGGGGAATTGTTCAAGACAAAAAGAAAAAATGATCGTTAGATTTGCGATTCAAAGGATAACGATATATATCTGCAATATCAATTATTTTTACCGATACCGTACCAATCCCGTGCGAGATAATTTATTATAAAGATTAATTGTCGAATTTGCAATTGTTTTTTGATCGAATAGTCGACGTAAAATCAATGAAAATGAAACTACATTATTAAGATCAAATGTTAAACAAATAAGATAACGATAATGGATTCGTTTACATTCAACGATTTTATTAAGATGGTGTAATGTTTATTACCGATTGACCGTTCGTTAAACTGACCATCAAATTACCAACATTCAATGGCTCTCACGAGTTATCTAATCCTTGATTAACCAAAACGAAAATTACAACTAAGTTTATAGATACGTGATATTTATTGCACGATAATAGATTGTTCAACGTTATATAAATATATTGTAAGAACATCGACATCTTTTTACTATTTTTTTTTTCAAAGATTCACGTCTCTTTTTATACACATATGTTTAATTACTGTATGTAAGAATATCGATGGGGATTGCAAAAAGTAAAAGATAGAAAGTATATAAGCGTACGGAAAAAAGAAGAAAGATAAAGAGAAATAATAGATAAAAGGAAACTGTGAGGAAGATTTGAAAGCTTACTTTTAGTTCGAACAATCTTACCGCAATCGCGATTGTGGTAACGCGCACGAAGCAAAGTTCCTTGAATTTTCGGTGGTTTACACCCGGTCAATGCCATAGAAATACTAAAAGAGACATCAATGGGGCAGATGCGAAAAAGAACGTTCAGATTTCACGTAAAGGAAAGAGGGCAGCTTGTTTCACGTTCGATCAGCCGCGAATAACGCACTCGGAGATGAGGTGGGTTCGTTATTTTGATAGCTTCCTTCGATGTTCGGCCATGCATTTAGGATCTTTTAGACTTGAATCGCCCCTTACGCTCGAATTAAGATCGACTATTGAATTCCGTTTGCTTCGAAGTATTTGTAATCGATCAGGAATACGATATTTCTTTGTTAGTATAAATCCGATATTGTTTTGTATAATTCATTTATATTAAAGCTACGAGGAAGATTAACATTTTCATGTATTAGTAATAGGCCAAGTTGTTAGGGTTAAGATTATATCGTGATAGTGTTTGCGTTATAACGATAGACAATGGGATAGTAAAGGTGCTTTACGAAGACGTTGAAAGCAAAGGATGGAATATAATGGTAGGAGTACACCAGCCGACGCAACAACAACTTTTAGACGTGATTTCAAGCATGTAATTGGGCAGAAACGTCTGCCGAGTGTACTAGAATCTATAGTAAATTTGTTTTTTTTTTCTTCGTGCATAGAGACGAGCAACAATGTTCACGGGTCCACGAACAAGCTCAAAAAGGATCCGTACCCTGATCATGAACGATCGCAGTATCCTAAATATTTTGATCTCTCTAATAGACGTTTTTGTTGTATACTGCATCGTCTTCTTTTCTTCTTCTTTTTTTTGCTTTGACGTTTTTTTTTGTGACGTTTATTTTATTCTACTATCAAATGAAATAATTTGTTTGTTTAACAAAATAAGAGTAAATCATTTTATGTATTATATAATATAATGTATCATCTAACAATTCATATATCGTTATTCGTTTGTTAGAATTTATTGTTAATAAAATATAACATGAGTATATTACAAGTGACATAAGAGAATTTTCTAACTACACTAATACGTTAATAATTGCTCAACGTTACGTCGCGGTGTTCGCTTGCTTACCACCCCTTCATTTAAACAAGAGCACACCCACGTCGTTACCAACTACCGTATATATAATTACGGAAAACGCAGACGTTACCTTCGGTAAACGCTTGTTTGCTCGTTGATCATTAGGCTGAATTTGCGTTAATAACGAAATCCTCAGCAAAACGAGACCCCAGCAATCAAAATACAATGCTACAAATGAGACCACCTATAACGAATTCCGTAGCACACGTGTTTTATCGTACAATGAATTAGCTCGTCGGAATTCCATTTCTACGATTTTAATAATGCATCGCTTCGTGAAAATCGTATTTTCTATCATTAATAATGCAAGGGTAAATAAAATGTATTTTCGTAATTAATTCTTTCCAGGTAAACAAATTTATTTAATTTAAATATCGGAATAATATGGTTGGAGTAAAATCTCACGCATTGCGCACAATTGAAAACATGCTTTTAATTGCTTTATATAACAAAATTATTTTAATATTGATTATCGTTATCATAATAAAAATATAAAATCATTTTTGTGTGTTAAATATTTTAATACAAATTTATAAGAATATTTCTTTAAAACTAGTTTAATACATTTGTAAGACGTATTAACAGCAATTAAGTTAATAGCAATAAATATTACAATATAAGCAATTTAAAAAAACATTTCACAGCTAAACATTTAAGCATCACCACCTCCAATCTCTTTATTAATTTCAAAACTTTTTCCGCATTTGCAAGTTTTCTTTTCACTTTCTTTAGAAAGTAAATTATTTAGATCTGTATCACCGCCGGCAGAATTCAATTCATTTAAAGATTTATCCGGCATTAATTTACAAGGTTTCTCGGTAGCATTGTCCGCAGGACTATCATTTTCTTTCACTTGCAAGGCATTAGGTAAATCGTTATTTGTAGTAATTCTTCGTGGAATATTTGCAGGTAGTTCCGCAAAAACCTAAAACAATAATAAACTAAATAAAAAGATATACAAATATATAAATATAATAAATTATGAAAAAAATGCATATAAAATTATGAAAAAAATTTTTATATGAATATAAATAAATATTTAATACTTCGCGAATTAGCTCAATTGTCTGTCTTTTTTGAACATCATCCTGAGGTAATGCATTCGTACTAGGTGCCGAAAAGGAACAACTTAATCCTCTAAAAAATCCAAATTCAAAAGATTTTACTCTAAGAAAAATAATTCCTATAACCATCAATATAGGAAGCAATATAATTAGTAACGGTTTTATGAAAAGTCCCGAAACCCAAGGAATATCACCTGCAAGAACAACATTAGTTTTATAATATTGTTTTTTGAAAATTCTTAATTTCATATAACGTATAGTTATTATTTTCATATAGAACCAATTAAAACTCTTACTGGTTAAACCACTTATAAAGTCAGACATTGCTTGTCCAATTTTAGGAGCTGGTTGTAATAATACCGTGGAGACAAGTTCTGATAAGACTGAAGCAGGTGTTACCTGCAGATTTGGATTAGACATTCTTGCTTCGTAATATTTTTCGCATTCATTACTACCACCAACTATAATAAAAAAAATATCTTGTTTTAATATTTAATACAAATAATCCAGATTTAGTTACGATTAAGAAATAAATTATTTAGAAGAATAAATTACAGTTATGATATTTTTTCTTTGATAGACATATACAAGCGTTAATCCTTTCACGACGGCGAAACTAGCAATCAGTACGCTACTAATAAATAAATTGTCGTGAAAGGATTAATGTAATTCTCATTAGAAATTGCAGATTGTATCAATGTTTCTTTCCTTCGACTCAAAAATTCAGACGATACGAATTATAGATGATAATACCAAAGCTTGATCGAACTAAATCATAACCGAGACTTCTATTTCTTTAGAAACTCATTCTTTGATCTAATTACAATGCAATTTCCAATCATTTAAATACTTACGAAAGTATGACGATATTCTTGCCAACGCACTCATCTCATGTGGTCTACAAATTGCAGGCATTTCAGTGTATTTAACTTGAGTTGCAACAAATTTGAATTCAGCTTCCTTTTAAACAAAATATAATAAAATATTCATATTCATTGTCTTAAAAGATCAATGATAATAATTAATTTGTTGTTCTAATTTTTACCTTTAATAACTTCAAATAAGTCATAGTATAGCTAACTGAAAAACCTATAACTAGGGTAAAAAAAATCATACGATGATATGGCATTGTTCTGCATAATATTATGGTAAACAGTGTACCGGAAGCAACAATAATCACATCTGTCTAAAACATAAGAACAAAAAAGTAAAATATTACACTGTACATATCATTGATATAATTATAAAATTGTAACTGGTAATGCATGACTTACATAGCTATTTATAAAATTAAACACAGATTGAATACTCCAATTAAAGTTGATCGTATCTAAGACAACATCAGCACGTGAAGGCTCTAATAAAATTTCACTCAAGATTAAATCAATTTCTTTTAGAGAATAATCTTCTATTTCCACTTTCATAAGCTTTTCGATTTGCATTTTTGTTCCTTTTATTAATAAATGTCCCTCTAATAAATCATCCATTCCCATCTGTATAGTATCAAAAGATACAATTTTATTATTATTATTATTATTATTATTATTATTATTATTATTATTATTATTATTATTATTATTATTATTATTATTATTGTTCTTAGTAATTTCTATTATACCTTTAAGTTAGAATTTATCAATAACATCTTAATCAATCTCATGTAATATATTTTTAACCTCTGACATTCTTCAATAGATTTTTTTAATACTTCTTCTTGATTAGATATTTTATCCGACATGGATAATCTTGTATCTATACTTGGAGATATTACTCTGTAACATTTGGTAAAAAATTAATAAAAAATAAGATAAAATATAATAAGCTATGATAAACTTAAGTAAAAATAAGACATGGATTTTACACATACGTATCCCCTATTATTACTTTTTTAATATTTCTATCATAAAAAAAAGAATGTGGATCAATGAAGTCTTCTACTTGGTTCCTAAAAAAAAAGAATAGGATCACTTAATATTAATAAATGAATTGTATAGATTATCAGATAAAATTTACAGTTTTTGCTTACAGATCATCGTCATGCGTATCTTGATCCATGCTTTCATTAAATTCATCATTCTTTTTAGATCCGGATTCTGAATCATTGTTTATATTTCTGAAAAGGTATAATTTAATTGTCATATTGTAAATATTTCATTTACCAAAAACTGAACGTGGGTTGGTTGAAAAGTATTGAGCCTCAATAAAAAAAACTTCTTTGGTAAATAAAAATTTGTTCTATATTAGAATCAAATTTTTCAACCCATCCATGTATTTCATATAACATAATATCATAATTACATTTCAGAATAGATAATATTATCCTCATTGCACAACACTAATGAACAATTAATTAAACATTGTATAATGATACAAATAAAAATAATTGATTTTAACATGATTAATACTTTTAATTAAATAAACAGCAGTTTTTACTAAATTTATTTTTCGTATTAAATTATATTACTTAATGTATTTAATACCTAATGTATTACTTAATGTGTCATACGATATATATAGAATCAAAATAAGAAACACATAAGACTACATTCACCTACTAGCTAACTTATGTTTTAATCCTGCGAAATTGTATTATTTATTTATAATATTCATTCATATAGCAATACCTATAATGATACAATCTAATTATAAATGATAAACTATATTTTTATAATTATTACTTCCTGATCATGCTTTTCATTTGTTACAAAGATTATATTAACAAAAATAAATAAATAGTAAAAAATTCAATAATACACTCTAAAAATGACATCAAGTGACTGTTATATGGCTAGTTTAGATAGGAAACTAAATTTCGTACAATGGCGCCACTCAAAATCTTCGGTGGAAGAAATAAAGCTCTTAACTCTACCGCTAATTTTCAAATACACATTTAAGTAATTTGTGTTTTATTTCTGTTACTGCATATCAGGTAAAAAAAAACTGTCTTTTAAAATCATTTGAATTTGAAAATTCCATGTGCGTTTCTTTATGTAATCAATTTGTCAATAATTTTATCGGTGATCTTTATGTATCTATCTATGTTTAAATAGACTTATGGTGGGAACATTGCTCTCATGTTGCATTTGTAGTTCATATTTTATCCGTACTTATCACTAAATTCGCACACGCTCTGAACGAATGTTGGTACACAACCATAAAGGTTAGAAGAGAATATGGCGCCACGCCGAGAAAATCGTGTTAATCATAATGTTACTAATAGAGCTTCAAAAAAAAATAAAAAGATCTGGGTGGACATTTTCAAATTGCCTCAATTATGGCCATTATTAACTGATCCAAAAAAATTTGGAAAAACCTCGATTTTATTTATTATACTGGAAATAATTTTGAACGTATACATTATCGAAAAAGTGCCTTACACAGAAATTGATTGGGAAACTTATATGCAACAAGTGGAGGGTTTTTTAAGTGGTACATTGGATTATTCGAATCTAAAAGGTGATACAGGGCCATTGGTTTATCCTGCTGGATTTTTGTACATCTTCTCAGCTTTATATTATATTACTGAGCGTGGAAGACAAATTAAAACAGCTCAGTATATCTTTGCTTTCCTCTACATAATATTATTAGTACTGGTCTTCCGTATTTATTCAAAAACTAAAAAGGCTCCACCTTATGTATTAATTTTGATTTGTTTTACATCATATCGAATACATTCTATATTCGTCCTAAGACTTTTTAATGATCCAATAGCTATGATATTATTATTTTTAAGTCTAAATGCATTTTTAGATGACTATTGGTATTTAGGAAGTATTTTTTACAGCCTTGCTGTATCTGTTAAAATGAATATTTTATTATTTGCACCAGCACTCTTTACTGCATATTTATGCGTTCTTGGAACAATGAAGACTGCAATACATTTATTCATTTGTGCAATAATTCAAATAATTTTAGGCTTACCATTTTTAATTGAAAATCCAATTTCATATATCAAAGGAGCATTTAATTTGGGAAGAATTTTTGAATTTAAATGGACAGTAAATTGGCGATTTTTACCAAAAGAAATATTTGTAAATCCATACTTTCACATTTTATTGTTGATTTTACATTTATTATTGTTAGCCATCTGCGCACCAAATTGGATAATTTATTTGAAATCCTATGCAAAATTAAAATTAATGGAAACAGATTTAAAGCCTCAATTTGATGAAGAGAAAAAAATAGATATGTCAACTATGAGCCAGTTATTTATTCTTCCATTATTTTTAGCTAATTTCATAGGCATGGCGTGCAGTAGATCTTTACATTATCAATTTTATGTATGGTACTATTACACATTGCCGTATCTGGCATGGTGTACAAGTTACAAAACTGTTACGAAACTTTCAATATTAGGAATAATAGAACTTTGTTGGAATACTTATCCAAGTACAGTCTTGAGTAGTTTTGCTCTACAGACTTGCCATATAGTTTTATTATATAATTTGGTCAAAAAGAAATATAGCAATGCAAAAACTAAATAAAATTATTATCTGTGTGGAACTGAATTTATTATTTAGTTTTTACTCTATCTAACAAATCAAATTTTATATTTATTAAATATTCGTTATATTTAAGAAAACGAAAAATCGAAATATTAAAAATATATTTATATTTAAATTTTTCAATAAAATAATTACGAATGAAATATATATTTCTCTATTTTTATTCTAATATAAACCTATTTTGGTACCATTGTAATTGTTGAAATTGTTTTATAAACAAATTTTATGTATTTGAATCGTAATAGAACAATATAAATATGTAAATATATCACTCTCTCTCTCTCTCTTCTCTCTCTCTTTCTCTGCAATCAATATATCAGCTGACACCAATTCAAATATTTGGCGCGAAATTTAACAGAAATTTTTTATTTGTTTGTTTTTTGTAATACTGAAGACCCTAAAAATTGACAATCTTTATAAAACGATTCATATCTCATTATGTGGTTTCTTTTTAATTCACTCTAATTTTAAACATTTTTCAATATAAATTTAGAAATTGTGTGATAAAAAGAGAAAGAAAGAGAGAAAGAAAACGCCATTAATATTGTGTTCATAAATATGTACAAAGAACGTTTGAAAGCGGATACATAAACATATGGTTTTATTTTATTATTAAGTGAAACTAAATATATTTTAAATGGTATGTACAATTAAAGAATAAGAATATTATTTTTGTTTAACAATAGTAAGAATTAATTGGTTAATTATTTTTCATTTTAACCTCAAATAAAAATATATTTACTTCTATTTGTAGAACTATTTTTAAAACAATAATTATAATTATATAAACAGAAGAGATATTGTCAATAAGTGTTACATATTTGTAAATAATATTTATAATATAAAAAGCTATGCACTCAGAGAATAATGTCTGGAACAAGTAATTCATTATCGTCAAAACCTTCTACGTGCAAATCAGAATTTGTTAGTATTGATGGTGAATCGTGTAAGAAAGAAAATAACTTTTTACTTTCTGATCATATCTCAGAATTTCATCATAAAACATTAAAGGATGAAATAAATACAAGCAATTTGGTAATATTTGTAATAATACAATTTAAAGACACTTCATTTAACATAAATAAAATTAAATTATATATTTTGAAGGTATCGGTATTAGCAAAACAATGCGAAGAAAGAAGTGATACTAGTTTTACACGTGGTTGTATGTTTTGTAAAATGAACTTTACTGAATCACGTCTTATGTATATAAAACATCTTTCAGAGAAACATAATTTATATCTTGGTAAACCAGAACATTTAGTTTTCATCGATGAACTCTTAGATAGAATACAACAAAGTATTGAAAGGTAATTTGAATAAATTATTAGTGTATATTTCTAATGATATTAAAATCAATCATAAGTAATATTCATATATAATTTTTTATGTTACGGTTTAAGTATTGAAAAAATATTTCATTTTTAGTTTAATCTGCATATACTGTGAAAAAGTGTTCACAAACCGGAAGGCATTAAAAGAGCACATGCGTAAAAAGTTGCATAAACAAATAAATCCATACAATAAATCATTTGATAAGTTTTATATAGTTAATTATACGGAGTCTAATAGAACAAGAAAATATCAAGTAACTACAATATGGTGTTAATTATTAACTTAAAAATTGTTGCATTTTTTTATATCATTAAATACATGTTTTATTTTTATCTTTGAAGAAAAATCGTAAATACACTAAAGATAGTGGATTAAGCAGCGAAAGTGAAGACGAAGAATTGTCATGGTCTGATTGGAATGATGAAGGCATTAGTATACTTTGTTTATTTTGTAAACATTCTGATAAAGATTTTCATACCATTTTACAACATATGAAAGAACAACACAATTTTGACTTTAAAAAGGAATCAGAAGATTTAACTTTTTATCAGAAAGTATGTATATTTACATATTTATAAGATATTATAGTTTTTATCATAAAGAACAAATTAATAATAGTAAATGTGTGTAGGTAAAGCTGGTAAATTATATAAGACAACAAATTCGTATACAATGTTGCATTTTATGCGAAGAAAAGTCTGATAACATATCGGAACATATGACTCAACTAAATCATTACAAAATACCTAAGCAACACATATGGGATCAACCAGAGTTAGTAATTAATTTTCTATGTAGATTCATGAAAAAAGAGAAAAATAATTCTATCATAACGTTAAAGTATAATAAATTATTGTTTTAGATTTTATTTCCCTATGAATGAAAATGATTCATTTTTATACAATTTGGATACGGATGGTGATACCTCAGATGAGAATGATATTGAGAACACATTTAAAGAATTATCTGTTACATGTAATGATAATAACGAGTAACGTACATTTTTGAACTATTATTAAATTTGTAAGAAATAATTGAATATACATCAAATGAAATGTTATTGTTTTTATTATTTTATTTTAATCAAGTAGTTAGTGAATATATTTTTTATTGATATTTAACACTTCTTATTAAAGAAATTATGTACATATGTGTTACGAATCTATTTTATCTCTAGTAAATATAATGGCAACTAAAAGATTATTGCAACGTTGCGATTCATATGTAACAACAATAAATAACATTTGTAATAGCAATAAAGAGAAACTACAAGAAAAAGACTGTTATTTAGGTTACTCAGATAATAATTCTCTTATTAAAATAAGAGTAGAAGGTCTTATCACTGCAGTCGCTTTTCATAAAGCAAGATTATATGCACGGAAGCTTTCTCAAAATTTACCATATAAATATGCTATATCACAAATTAGAGAAATGTTTCAAGTAGACTGGCACGAATATCTTCAAAAAATGAAAGTGGTAAAGAATTATTTGTATTAATTAATTTCTTCATTCTATAAAAATATACAGCTGAATTTTTATTTATAGCACATTGGTGGTAAAATGTGGATCTTAAAAAGACACGTTGCAGTTTTTATAAATGATTTGTTCATAGGCAGTGACATTGAATTTTTCGATTATCTTAATGAATTGTATGTTTTTCATATGCCAAAAAATATTGAATATTATGAAACACAAGCTAAAGAATACCATAAAGAATTTATTAAAAATACAAAGGTAAATAAAGTAGGTATATATGATAATAATTTAAGATAGTGAATATTTTTCCAGAGAATTTACGTGTATTTTACATTTACTTTGGATGGATTACCAATGGGTTCCCTTTTATTCATGGTATAAATGTTATTACAAAATAAGTATGTTCGATTCATATTTTAATTTTATTTGATTGTTTTAAATGAGAAGAATATTTACACAGTTATATTCTGACTTGCTCCCAAAAACTTGTAAACATTTTGTAAATTTTTGTACTGGGAAGTATGAGAATATAAAAGGCTTCAAAGTTTCACATTACATAAGCACTTCTGTTCATCGTATAGTAAAAAATGGATGGATTCAACTCGGTGGCAAGTATTTAAATGAAAATAAATGAAGCATACATATCAACGTTATTTTCTCGTCTATTATAAATGTAAGCTATTTACGCACCTATACTTTAGATATTCAATCAAACAGTACTAATTTGAAAACGATTGTAATACCTAAAATTACTGATGAATCATATTGCATACCTCATGATCGAAGAGGAATCTTATCAATGGCAAATAATGGGAAGCACTTTAATGAATCTCAAATAATTGTTTCTTTAAAACCTAATCCATGGATGAATTATCATTATGTAGCTTTCGGGTAAATGTGAATATATTTTTTATAATAATAACATTACTAAGTTTACTCTTAGGGAAGTTGTTTTTTGGACAGGTTTAATTAAGATGAACACAATATTTATCCGTTGAACGTTTCGTCTCTATTTGAGACTTCCTCAGCAACTAAAATTATTTATTATGACATATTATT